GCTGACAAAAGGAATAGAGATCCCAAATCTTGTACAATCATTCAATAAAAAGTAGTTTTTATTTGCAATTTTATGGTGTTGATCAATGAGTTTATATATATATATATATATATATATATTATAAATTAATTGATTTAAAATATAGTTTTTCCGCTACACAGTTCTAACCATGTTTCAAAAATGGAAGGTCCGAATTTAATTTTGTAATTAAAGACATTAGTTCCATTTCATCCTCAAGCGAAACGTGAATTATGATTTTAGCTGTGTCTTTAAAACCCAGTAATTTTAAAAGTTACTCCAAAATTCGCTTGAGGATGAAGTGAAACTAATGTCTTTAATTTGTGTATGGATATTTAGACAGCATATCTTCATTCAAGAAGGTTTTATTAAACAATATAGGCATATTACATCTATTTTTATAATAATCCTTTCTAGTTCTCTAAGGAGGTCGCCATATTTGTTGTTGACTCAAGTACTTTCGATTTCCTTCAAGATCATCCTCAGAGGTGAACCGTGAAGACAAACAATATAACTAATCGTTGTGATGGTGATTCTACTATAATTATTTTAATCCCTGTGGCTATAATGTTTTGTAAACAAGCATTCCCAATTCAAGGGGGATAACCTGAGATGGTAAATTGCAAAATGCTGTTAAATATTAGTCAACGCAATTACATTTTAAAACATTGCTACTATACTGGGAATAAATTTTGTTCAATGTTGGTTGCTTGCTTCTGATATAGAGGATTTCAAAATATATATATATATATATATATATATATATATATATATATATATATATGTGTGTGTGTGTGTGTGTATACATATGCATAAATACTTTAAAAAATTCATAACTCAAGACGTAATAGTAGTAAAATAATAGAGCAACATAAAAATTTGAGCCATACTCCAAATACCAAACAACTGACATTGAGATAAAAATGTATTTTGAAGGCAAAATCAAGCAAAGAATCTCTTCATTCTTTGCCTACCTTTTTCTTTTAATTTCAAGACAACACAATGAAGGACAGCTTATAATTTTTACTAATTTCATGGGGGGGGATGAGGAGAGAGTGAATTTAGACAACATCTTTTGACATAATCATGTTTCAAGACACAAAAAAAAATGACCCCGAAAATAAGCCCAGCAGGATAAGAGAGAATGCCAACAAAGCTAACTCCATGTATCTTTCAAATATCATTTATATTAGCAGCAAATAAAAAGAATATTTGGCAAAAGGCTCAACTGAATAATCTCTTGTGAATGTCACAAACAGCCACTATGTAAAATTACATCTAATTTTCCAAACAGAAATACAAATTTGACATTCTACTATAAGTAGGGTGTAATTAGTGAAAGAGCTCAAGTCTCAGGACAATAGAGACTAGTATTTTTTTTTTTGTTTTTTTTTTTAAGGGTGGATCATTTTTTATTTTAGCTAATTAAGAAATTGGCTAAAAAGTGTAAAAAAAAAAAAAAAAAAAAAAAAAAAAAAAAAAAAAAACTGTATATAGTAGTTACTCATTATCCATTTGTCCCCAAACCAGAATAGATCAATAGGAGTAGATAGGTTTACCTATTGCCCAGCTCACACTGCTCCCTAAGAGTAGAGATTTATCTCTGGTTTCCTGTTCAGGAGTGGATTTCTGGTTCCTTCTAAAGTTTTCTCATTCACAGTACCACCTTGTGTCTTAGTGACATTATCACTTTTGCTTGGTGAATTGATTATATATATATATATATATATATATATATATATATATATATATATATATATATATATACACATACACACACACCAGATTCTTGTACAATTTTTGAATAATTCAATAACCAAAGACCTTTGTGAAATATCCCACTCCCTAACCAAACTGAATACACCCAACAACAGATCTTCAATAAATATCGATTTATTGATTTGGTATTTCACGATTTTTCAACATTTTCAAGATTATTTAAAATGAGAAAATAATTTTAGAATGTACGAATCTTTTGGAGATAATGATTTTATGATAAAAGGTCTGCTAATTAAGCCATAGCTGGGGGGATAAGAGGTGAATTCATACTTTTTCACTGGCAGTATTCATGTGTAAGTGAATCTAACAAACCCGACTGAAATTGAAACTTCTCCCCAGCTTCTAAATTCGAGACGTTATTCATTACACCACCTGCACATCCAAGGTTAGTATCCCCAAGCGGTCACCCATCTTAGGTACTGACCAAGCCCAATGTTTATTAACTTTGTACGAGAACTGGTATTTCATCGTGATATTGTCATAAGGCCATGAAATCAATGAATTCACTCAGAAGCATTTGGTTTCACTAGGTCATCAGTTAGATTTGTATTTTCATGATATAAATCAATTTGATTATTAAATCAATAATAACCCCCTTTTTTAATTAATCCCAGACAATTTACAAATTTGTACAATTTTTGAATAATTCAATAACCAAAGATCTTTGTGAAATATCCGACCAAATTTAAAATGAGAAACTCCATTATGAACATTACAAAGTGTTTGGAAGTGAATATGAGGACAGTGTAGAGGATTCAGAAAGAGTTGGAGGAGTCTAATGGTGATTACCAAAGTATGGCAGCTTGGAAAACTCTCTGATCATTCTAGAAAAGAACTCCCAAATTTGTTGGCGAGAGCCTCAGACTCAATTACATCAAGTGTTTTGAGGAAGTAATGTTGCTCTGGGTAAAGAAAGTGGCTGCTGGAAGACCCTATGTCTGGCAACAGGACTATGCACCATGCCACACAAGCAGGAGAACCCAGTCATGGCTACCAGACAATTTCTATGACCATATCACCTGTTACATCTGGCCACCTCAAACTGCAACCCCTTTGATTATTATGTGAGACACTGTTGAGCGAGAGACCAACAAAACTCCTTGTAACACCAAAGATGAACTGAAGGCAAGGATTATGGCAGCATTCACCAACTTAAACAAGGAGACTGTCTAGAAGAATTACAGGAGACTTCAAAGTCATCTGGAGGCCATGGTTGAAGCCAATGGTGATTTTATTGAATAAATTTACTCTTTAGTACTTGAAGATATTTTTGTGTAATTTTGGTAAATATATCTATTAAAATGAGATGGCAGTGTTATTTTCATTTTTGCCTAAGATGACAATTTATCCATCGCACCCTGTATTTATATATACTAGTCCTCTCAAAGAGGAAGTAAAAGTCTATATTTTAATCTATCTGGGTGCTCATTAACAAAATCGTTCTGGCTTCCACAATTTTTTTGAACGTAGATGTCAAACATTTGATGTAGATTACACTGTACAGGTCAAGATTTTTTTTTTTTCAAAAGGTGGGTACATGTAAATCCAGGGAATGAGTGAGTGAGAGAGAGAGGAATGACTGAACCAGTCATAGAAAGAGAGAGAAAGAAAATGACCTAGCTAGAGAGATTAATGGCTGAAAAACAATTCTTGTAAAAATTAATTATCAGACAATAGTGCTCTTAATAAATCTTATTCATCAAATCAATTAAAAGCTTCTCTAATTAAATATAAAAACTGAAAATAAAAATATGTTAAATAAAAAATTAAAAAAAAAAGACAAATATTTTTCAAATCAATGTTATCAAGTTTTCTCAAACTGGCTCCCAAAGTCTACATTCCCAAACAGACCATCTCAAAATGAAAATACATATTACTCTTCTTATGCAACTGTACCTAAATTTACATAGCAGCTGTAATTCGGCATGCCAACTCAAGGTCATAGGCATTACACTTCTTTCCGTAGTTCCCAATAAAATTTATTACAAACCCATTTTTCCTGTCTGTCAATTTTTAACTTCCCATTCACAGTAGCATCTTCTTTCCCAGCCCTTCAATGAGTGCTGCATTATCCACCCCTCTCTTTTGTCTGTCAGTTATGGGAGGTGAGGGTAGGATTGTAGGGTGGAGTTAAATGACTTCCTCAGAAAAACAGTATAGCTACATCCTATCCCTGGAACCAGGTTCTAAGTTCCCAGCTGGGCTGGCTATACCACCCCAGCCCCTCTATGCCATTCTCAGCTAATCCTGTACAGATTCTACACAGAAAATACCCAACTTTATCATCTCTTTCTCAAAGACATCTCCCAGCTACACACATGCCTTTTTCTGGAAAGGTAAGTGACAAGGAATGCCTTATGGTAGGAACAATCTGAAATGAGCCGACAGATATACTGTTGGAATTGATAAGGAGAAGAACTTCAATAGACAAAGTCCAGGTTGATTTATAGACAAAATACAAGGATAAATTTATGTGGGACAGAAAAAATATTTGTTGCCCAAATAAATGCATCATTAAAGTTGATGATCTGAATACAGTTATAAAAAAAAAGTACCAATTTATTTCTTTATGTCCCACATCCCTTCAAGACAAGCACTCATAGGTCTCTACAAGTATCCAAGGATTTTCAGGTATCTCTTCCTAATTCTGAGTATAGGTCTTCTTTCTGTTGCCCCTTTCTTTAATACTTTCTTGGCGCTTACTTATGGAAATTTTCAGTATCCTTCTGTAGAAGGACATTTTTGCTGTTAGTTCCCCTCTCCCTCATCCTTAGGGAGATTGTCCAACATTCACTGCCGTACAAAAGAATGGATGCCACATAGAAACAAAGAAAAGAGTGCTGGATTGCTAACAACATTTTTGTTTCTCAGCACTTTGTGTAGCTTTTGGAGTGTCACGTTTGCTAGTCCAAGGTATATTCTGATCTCGGTATCACACTTTCCACCCTCTGTTAAAACAGTTCCCAGATATTTGAACTTTTGAACCATGTCGAATTCACACAGTATTTATCTCATCTCCATTCACTTTCTGTGGTAACTTCAAGGCAGCCAACCGATGAAAAGTGAATACTGTATTTGTTAATAAAATTAGAGTCAAGCATAATGACTTCATACACACAATCTTTTTTGCTTTCATTTACTACTTTGCCTAAGAGAGCTGTTTTCAGGTTTTTGTCCGAGTGTATGCCACCAATACAGTACATTTATCTATACAGGTTAAATAAAACCAGTGAAAAAAGGCATCCGTCATACACATCACCCAGTTTTTGTGCATCCCTCTGATGAATGTATGAGAGAGAGAGAAAGAGATGATGATGATGCCCCAAAGAGAGAAAGGTGATGCCTGCAGAGAGAGAGAGAGAGAAAGGTGATGCCTGCAGAGAGAGAGAGAGAGAAAGGTGATGCCTGCAGAGAGAGAGAGAGAGAGAGAGAGGTGATGCCTGCAGAGAGAGAGAGAGAGAGGCGATGCCTACAGAGAGAGAGAGAGAAAGGCGATGCCTACACAGAGAGAGAGAGAAAGGCGATGCCTACACAGAGAGAGAGAGAAAGGCGATGCCTACACAGAGAGAGAGAGAGAGAAAGGAATGCCTACAGAGAGAGAGAGAGAGAGAGAAAAAAAGATGCCTACAGAGAGAGAGAGAGAGAGAAAGGCATGCATACACAGAGAGAGAGAGAGAGAGAAAGTATAGAGAAAATGCCTACAGAGAGAGAGAGAGAGAGAAATACACAGAGAGAGAGAGAGAGAGAAATATAGAAACACAGAGAGAGAGAGAGAGAGAGAGAGAGAGAAGTATAGAGCAAATACACAGAGAGAGAGAGAGAGAAAAACAGAGAGAGAGAGAGAGAGAGAGAGAGAGAGAGAGAAGTATAGATAAAATACACAGAGAGAGAGAGAGAGAGAGAAAATATGCTTGGGCACAGAGAGAGAGAGAGAGAGAGAGAGAAAGGCGATGCCTACACAGAGAGAGAGAGAGAGAGAGGAGAAAGGCCTACACAGAGAGAGAGAGAGAGAGAGAAAGGCGATGAAAACACACAGAGAGAGAGAGAGAGAGAAAGGAAAATGCCTACACAGAGAGAGAGAGAGAGAGAAAGGAGAATGAAAATACACAGAGAGAGAGAGAGAGAGAGAAATACACAGAGAGAGAGAGAAAGAGAGAGAGAGAGAGAGAAAGAGCAAATGCCTACACAGAGAGAGAGAGAAAGGCATGAAATACACAGAGAGAGAGAGAAAAAAATGCCTACACAGAGAGAGAGAGAGAAGGCGATGCCACACAGAGAGAGAGAGAAAGGTATGCACACACAGAGAGAGAGAGAAAGGCGATGCCCACACAGAGAGAGAGAGAAAGGTATATGCCTACACAGAGAGAGAGAGAAAGAGAACACAGAGAGAGAGAGAGAAAGAAGATGCCTACAGAGAGAGAGAGAAAGGCAGAGAGAGATGCCCACAGAGAGAGAGAGAGAAAGATGCCTACACAGAGAGAGAGAAAGGAAAATGCAGACACAGAGAGAGAGAGAAAGGAGAGATGCATACACAGAGAGAGAGAGAAAGGCATGCCTACACAGAGAGAGAGAGAGAAAGAAGTATGCCTACACAGAGAGAGAGAGAGAAAGAGCCTACACAGAGAGAGAGAGAAAGGGAGAAAATGCACAGAGAGAGAGAGAGAGAGAGAGAGAGAGAGAGAAATAGAGAAATGCACACAGAGAGAGAGAGAGAGAAAGGCGATGCCACACAGAGAGAGAGAGAGAGAAAGGCGATGCCTACACAGAGAGAGAGAGAGATGACAGAGAGAGAGAGAGAGAGAGAAATGAGAAAATACACAGAGAGAGAGAGAGAGAAAGGCGATAAACACAGAGAGAGAGAGAGAGAGAAAGGCGATACACACAGAGAGAGAGAGAGAGAAAGGCGATGCCTACACAGAGAGAGAGAGAGAGAAAGGCAATGCCTACACAGAGAGAGAGAGAGAGAAAGGCGATGCCTACACAGAGAGAGAGAGAGAGAGAGAAAGGCAATGCCTACACAGAGAGAGAGAGAGAGAGAGAAAGGCGATGCCTACACAGAGAGAGAGAGAGAGAGAAAGGCGATGCCTACACAGAGAGAGAGAGAGAAAAGCAGGTACAGGAAAAAAAGGGCAAATTAAAAGATTTGGAATCTATAATATAGATATAAAGCAGAGCGAGAGAGAGATTAGATATTGAGTGGGCCCTTCCCAGAGGTGGTTGGGTAGTTGTAGTCAGCCATAGCAAATGCGAAATTCTCAAAGCAGAAGGGATGAATCATAACTGCACCAACACCATCGGTGTCAGCATCACCACCATCACCACCACCACTCTAATTGACGGATTGCTGTTCTAAGAGCTAGAGTAGTGCTGCAACTTTGAGCTCCCTGCTGTTGGGAAGGTTGGGTGAGGGAGCCAACATCACAGATTAGCTTCCTCCCATCAAAGAACCTACACACACATGACATTAAACAAACTGGTTTCAATACTACCAGGGCCTGTGAGAAGGCAAGAATTATAACAATTTAGTCCTTCATCTGAAATAGAAGAAAAGCTGTGAGCTTACGTGAATAAGATAAAGAAAGAATGGTGGAAATAAAAAAAAGATTTTATTCCTATGAAAGATTGATAATCTTTAAGACAAAAAAAAAAAAAAATCATCTTGTCATCTTTAAGACAAAAATCTTGAAGGTGTAGACATTACATGTAAAGATATCAGTTGTGAATAACCTCTTGAAAAGAAACTATGATAGTATATACTTTTCAAATAAACTAAAAAGTAGTTGGATACAAACAAACATCAACATTGGTCACTGTGTGACCATTTTTAAGTCTATGTTAACTTTTATTTGCTTAGATTATCTCATAAATTTTGTTAACGACACAATGTTTTATTCAACTAATTCATTCAATCCAGTCATAAAAAGGTGTGGAGGTAATTTCTCTTTCAGATCAAGCAAACTAGAAAATGCTGTAAATGCTTTCTATACAGATTGGATAAAAGTTATAGAATAGTTCAGGTTAAATGTTATGACAAGTCATTTTAAACACTTAAAACAATGACTAATCCCGAAATTACAGAAAATATCTTCAATGAATCTTTTCCACCAACATCGAAGTTTTAGAGAATACCACTCATCAGGGCGGGATAAATGTATTGAACTAATACCAGATATAATTATACTCTGCATAAGAAATGCATGTCACAAATAAACTAATAAGTAATAAGGTGTGCCAGACAAAAGTGATAACAAAAATTGCAATATGAGATCTGGTAAAAACATGTAATGATAAAAAGCAAAAACTGCAATATGAGCACATGTAAAAAAATAATTGCTGATAACATTAGGTTTATAATAGCCAGAAATTTATACACAGATGTCTTCAAGGACACATGGCACAGTGGATAATGATGTTGGTTAGATCTAGTGACAGTAGCCAAAGAGTAGGAGTTCAATACTCAGTTAAGGGAGTGGAGAACTTGGGAATTAACAGGAGATAAAACATCCATTAAACATGGCACGTGGAACTAGAACAGTCTACCCCAATGAGCGAAATGAAGGGTTCAGTTTGACGTTCCAACCACCTGAAGAAGGCAGGAGCATACAAAACGTTGTGATAAATATAGCGACAAAGATGAGGACAATAGTCCGAATAGTGTACATAATACCTCATCTCAGAAATATAGACAGATACAAATAAACTTTAAATTTGAAATCTGCATTATGCTACACTGTTCAGAACATAGCATATAAATATTTAGAATCAGTATAATTTGAAAATATTAAAATTTAAATATTCTATTTCTTTAAATATAATTTTGCCATTATAAAATATATTTTTGCAAAAAAAAAAAAAAAAAAAATATCTTCCATAGAGATTATGCAAAATATACTATTGCATATCCAATCTCTTCTACTGACCCCCCGCTGCACCCATCCAAGGCTAGTGCAGTGGAGTGCTGAAAGAGATGGCTTAGCAATTGAAAGCACCTCAATCCTAATCCAAACATTATTTTTAACTTATATTGATTACAAGACAGACATTTCTTTTTTCATTTGTGCCTTTTTATTTCACTTTTGTAAAAGAAGGTACCTAGAACTATTGCTCTTATGCAAAATATACTATTGCATGTCCAATCTCTTATGTTCACCCCCTAACTGCACCCATCTGAGGCTAGCGCAGTGGTGTCTTATAAGACTGTTTAATAATTGTAAACTACATAGAATAAATTCCATCAGGAGTGCCACTATCCTGATCTGAACAAAGGTTGCACTACTATTAAGAGTCAACTGAGCATAAAATCGGGGATCAGTTTTATATTCTTATTTAGTAATAAACTGATCCCTCACAGTATTGCTATATTTTAATATGCTACTATTACTCTTGAAGTAAAATAAATTATTGCATGAGGAATCTATGTTGACCTCCTAACTGCACCCATCCTAGGCTAGTGCAGTGGTGTCCTGTTAATTGTAAACTTCATAGAGTGAATTTTATCAGGAGCACCACCCTCCTGATCTGAACATTACAGATCGTGTACCTGAAGAGAATTTTAGAATGGCTCAGCTGAAATGCAGAAAAAATTGCCTGAAGAATTCTTGGAATGATAATGACATCTCAGTAATTTTAAGAATCCTTCTTCTGAAATGAGCCAAAGCAATATACACATTCTTCCATGAAAGATATTTTTTATGAATGAAAATCATAATTGGTTCTTTGAAGGTTCCATCAGAACTGATTGCACTTTCACATTAAAAGAAAAATGTTTTGCCAGTTTCTGTTGATACAAATTTGAACAGATGCCAGTCAAGGCCAACAATAACAACCAACAAAGAGAATAGTTTACTATGATTTGTATCTGTCACATGCTTTATTAACTAACTTGGCAGCTCATTAGTCAGTCAGTCAGTCGACCATTTCGTCAAGCACGTGCAACATTTGTATAGCCAGGAGGCAAAGTGGTTAAATCAAAGATGATACCAAATAACTTAAATCACTTAACATCCTCCATAGTTTAACTTCCTATATACTGTAAGACTGAATATATTAGATTCTTGTGTAATTGAAAATTTAAACTCTTAATGTTATTTTTCTTCCATTTTTACTTCTATAAATAAATACAGGTTACTAAATAAAATTTGTACATTTGCCTTGATCAAGTTTCTAAGCAAGGAAATTTATTGGCATAAGTTTCTCATCATTTCTTTTAATATATATATGTCTAGAAAACCAGGAATCAAAATGGCTACAACTGAGAGGGGAAAAAAAAGGAAAAGTTAAGGAGTGCGTGTAAAATGAAAAAAAAAAAAAAAAAAACACCAAAAAGGACAAATGACCACAATATTGTACATGTACGTGTAGATGGGCAGATATGAACGACGTGTGTGCACACACACACAGTATGGAAAGAAAAGAATGAAAAGTGCCTATAAAAAAGTAAAATCAAAAGTATAAGCAGTCAATCACTGAAGCCCCTGATGAGTTGACTGAGTGATTCCTGCAGAGCCCATCTACAAAAGTCTCGAGTTGTGACGCTGAAGGTAACATTCAGGTAAGTGACAAACATTTTACTTGTATTAATTTTATATATATATATATATATATATATATATATATATATATATATATATATATATATATATATATGTGTGTGTGTGTGTGTGTGTTTCATTAAAGACAATACTATGAATAAAATATTTTCTTCCATCACTCTTGGTTTTATTGGATTGTTAAAAAGTTCCCATTTTTTGGGGTCACCCTGTACTTGTATATTTATTCTGACTGCCTAATACAAAGGACTCATAAGAATTTGTACTAAATTGGCAGCAAGGTCTCATCATTTTACAGTAGAAATTGCTAGATGCAACCCTAAGTTTTACACTAATAGTTTTTTCTATCACACTTCTCAATTGTAGAACTCTCTTCTGGCTTTTTGATTCCCTGTCAACTTTAATGTTAAAAAATAAATGCAATGTTAATCTTTATCTTCTTAATTCTTGTTCTTTTATTAGTGACAAGGTCTCATCATTTTACTGTAGAAATGGCTAGATGTAACTAAGTTCTATGCTAACAGTTTCTTCTCTCACACTTCTCAATTGTGGAACTCTCTTTTGGCTTCTTGCTTTCCAGTCAACTGATCATCCAGAATTTAAATGCAATATCAATCATTATCTTCTGTCTTAATTCCTGTTTTTTTTTCTCTCCTTTGTAATATTTTTCTTTTTCTCATATTCTCTCACATTCAGTAACTCCTTGTGTCTTAATGGCTTTATTTCCTTGCTTGGGGTGAAATGATTATAAACAAAAAAAAAAAAAAATTTGGATTCACTAAGATAAAAACTCCACAAGATTCTGTCATGACTAAAAGAGACACTAGCTAGGATCAGCTTAACCCATTTAGGGTGAACGCTCAGACAATGCAATAAAAAAAAAGTCACAGCCACACCAATTCCAGTAAAAAAATTACTCCCCTCCCCATACACACATTTTTTTTTTTTTAAGCAACACGCACAAAGACTGGGTTGCTCACCTGATGTCCAAGTGAGTGCATTACAGAACTAAGAGGTTCCAGCTGCCCTACTATTTACTCATCATTGGAGGGAGAAGTGAATCCACACATTTCCCCAGGGAAAGGAACCAGAAACTATGCCAGCCAGAACAGATTCCATTATCCATTCCTGAATTGTTAGGCCACCCACACCTTTATTAGATAAGCAAAAAAATTGTTGGGGGATATTAAGTAAAAGTTCTAACAGATTGGTTGAGGTCATGAAAGAAGCAAAATAGATTCATAAAGAAATAAATTGGCAAACCGATTCCAAGCATCATTAATGCGGAAAGAGAAGAGAGAGAAAAAGAAGAAAAAGGCTCACATTTGATTTGTCAGGACAACTAGGATCAGTTTACTACAAAAATAGAAACAGAGGCAAATATTAATCAATTCAGACTCAAGTTTACAATTATAGATATGACCAAATGGTTTAAAAATCAGTGATTTTCAACTGGTAGGCTGTAGCACACTGTTGTGCCATGAGAGGATCAGCGCTGTGCCGCAAAAAATTTTTTTTATTTTTTTTTTTTAAAATGGTCATTGATTAAATCATTTTTGAAAGAAGCTCAAAGCACAATAAGTGCCCTTATCAAAATCTAA